TTTTTTTTTTTTTTTTTCATGTAACTAATACATAGATGACTGGGGATTGAGGTATAGAGTGAGTTGAGTGAGTCTAATACATATATTCACCTAAAAAAGATCTGGCATATAAATATGTGACTGTTGTACAGTGTTTTTGCTCTTGTGATTGGCTGTTGTAGCCTGTAGGTGGTCTTCAACGTTTGGCGAGCCCTCCGCCAGGGGCGAGTGTTTGGTTACATCATGACAGAGTTGACGTGTTCTATTCTCGGTCGATTCTAGTCTAGGCTCAGCGTAGCCTCTTTTTCTTGCACCAAACAAAAAAAATAAAAAAATTGCATATCTTTTATTTATTCATTTGTTTTCAGCCACGTTTCTGAAGGAGTGAGATTTCCTATTCCAATTTCGCATTCGATTTCGTGTTTTATTCCATTTGATGCATGACACGTTTTTATGATGATATCATCTAAGATATCATAAAATCAATTTTCCTCAGATTATCTACACCTTTTCATCCCAACAGTTTCTAAAATAGTCCCATTCTATTACATTTCCATCAAGTAAAAATTCTGTCTCAATTAGTCCGTAGATAATTCATCTTCAAGATATACCAGTGAAATATATGCATGACAGACATGCTCAGTTCACATAAAAAAGTTATGATTGATCTGGGGATCTTGAGATCTGTATTCAATATTAGGGTATCGGGTAGGTATAGGTTCTAAAAGCTGCGTGACCATTTGTACCTTTGGGCCATTCCTTCCACTCCATTGAGCTTGAGACAGGGTTCATAGAGATCGACCAAAGTTTGAGAGGTGTTTTACGTACAACCTCACGCTAAATTGGTAAGGCATATACCAGAATAACAGTCAGCAGATTAAGGATAATGAAAACATTCATCAGAATAAGCATAAAGAAATCAAACAATTTACCAGCACATCAAGATTTGTAACAGTCGTAAGAAAGTCATAAGAAAACCAAAATATAGTGCGTGGTGCTGCAATGCACGAACAAAGCCTTCAAGCCCAGTAGTACAATCACAGACATCCTTCGAAAGTAAGAAACCAAAAACATTCTGCAACATAAACTAGGTCGACCCAAATTTCAGCAAAACCCAAATCTTAAAAACAAGTTGAAAATTGGCTCTCTAATCAAATAAACTGAATCCCATGTCATCATCACTCTCCTCCTTTGGCTCCTCCTGCAAAAGCTCAATCAAAAAATAAAACACAAGTCATTAACTAACTACATCCAAAGTTCCACATTCAGCAAATCAAGACTTCAATTACAATACATATTCAGATCCAAGATTCACCAGTTCTGGAGCTGTAAACAATCTACTCGAGCTCCGGCTCGAGCCATTATCAAGCCGAGCCCATAAATGAGCTCAAGCCCAACTCATTAAGCCAAGTTTCAAGCTTTAACAAGCTTGATATTTGATAAAAGATTATAAAACTACATAACAACCCCTATGTATCAAGCCTAATTGAAGCAGGCCGAACGTTGTGTATAGCTCCAATTAATGAAGTTTATGGAACACACTATACTTGATAAGGTAATTACAAGGCTGACTCATTGAACTTGAACTAACATACAATTTCATCAATAAAATCCATTGAATTAATCAATCCTGAGCAATCAAACATCAAACAACCTAAACTCAATGATGAACAATAATAATAGATATAAAAATTGTATAAATAAGTGACATGCAGTTTGTACCTTCTTCTCCTCGGCAGCAGGAGCAGCTGCGGCGGCCGCACTGGCAGCGCCTCCGGCCGGAGCAGCCACGGCGACGGCGGCACCGCCTCCGGATCCGACGTTCACGATGAGATCCTCGATGTTCTTTTTCTCGCAAAGCTTCGCAAAGAGGCTCGGCCAGTACGATTCCACGGTCAAATTGGCCGCCTTAACCAGAGTAGCGATTTTCTCCGCCTAAATGATAAAATTAAAACAAAGGGAATCGAACTTCAACGCTCGGAAATTACATAATTACACATGTTGTTCATGGAATGGAAGAAAACTTACAGTGACGGCGATGCCATCATCGTGGAGAATCAAAGAAGCGTACGTGCAAGCGAGCTCTCCGACCGACATTTTCTCTTCTCTGCGCGGAGGCGAATCTGAGTCCTCACAGGGTTCGTGCCGTCGACTGCTGAAATTTGTGAGGTTGGCTTAGGGTTTTGCGGGTATTTATATGAAGTTGGATTTGGAAATTGTAATTGTGTCCTTGGTCTTGTGGTTTAATCAAAACAACCCTATGTTTTCAGAAATATCAAAATAGCCCCTTTATTACTTTTATTCATAGTTTTTAAACTCGGCTCGGAAATCGACCCGGGCAGGTCTCCGGTCATCGGGTCACCGGTTCAACTGTCAGGTCACCGAGTCAATTGCTGAACTGGATAATTCATTTTAAAAATTTTAAAATTACTATATATAGTATTTTTGACATATAAGTATACACAAAAGTAACAAAAATAAATATTTTGTATACAAAATTTGTACATTTAAGTGTTAATAATATTGAATCTCACAATAAATATTTACTATGTCATTATATAAACATAGTTTTTATTTTTATATAAAAAAAATTATAGAGACCGAGTCAACTGGGTTGACCCGGCCGGGTCCATGACCCGGGTCGACCAGGTCAAGGCCGGGTTGGCCGTGTTTTGACCGGGTTTGACCAAGTCCATTGTTACCCAGTCCAAATAGCCCACCCAAATCGATTTCGGCTCTGGGTCGACCCGTCAGGCCGGTCCGTGTCGCAAAACAATGCTTTTATTACTACTATGTTTAAATAAGCCAACTAGCCAAGCCAAGGCTAAGCAAGCTCCTAATATTTGAGTTCAGCTCATTAACAAGCAGATAAAAAGGCTCGGCGTGTTAAGTTAACAAGTCGGACTAGAATCTTATCAAACCGTACTATGATAAAGTTAAGAAATTACATAAAAAAAATTATTTATCGAGTTTAATGAGTGTTAAATGAATTCACATGCGATCAGTTTCGTTTAGCTGTAGAATAAACCGTTGTTATAGTTGGGTATTCGGATCGATTTGAACGTTCAACAATGCCCCTTTTACATATTGATTTCTTCTTTCTTATCGATTGAAGTTTTCATGTGTCATTTGCATACAATTAAGTGAAACAACTAACATTGGTACACCTTGTACATTAATTCAATGAAAATGCTACAACTACATAATAAATATACATAGAGGTGTATATAACCCTCACATGGAGTGGTGAGTCTACTTGATTTGTTATTTTTATTAGGTCTCACTAAATGAGAGTGTTATGTATATCTATATGTACAATATTATGTACCTATAATCAGGCCCGGCCCTGGCCCTGGGCAAACTGGGCGACGGCCCAGGGCCCGTTTACAACATGGGGCCTCAAATGCACTCAAATGCACATTGATAGATACAGAATTATACATTGACCTTTTCTTTCTTTTTTTTTTAAAAAAAAAAAAAAATAAACTTTTTATCCAATTAAGACCACTCGAATACCCCATAAATCTTTCTCCTGATCAATCACATCTCATCCTTTCTAATTACCTCTGCTATTTACCTCTCCTTCCTAATTACCTCTCCTTTCTAATTACCTCTCCTTTAATGTTTTGTGGCAAAGTTAATTTTGAAAATATAAATCTTAAATTATGGATTATTTTTCTCTACATTATAAATAAAAGTATTTTTCACCTTAGGACATTAAATGCATACAAATACACCTTGAATATCTAAAGTTGGCCCAAAATTATTGAATGTTCCGTGATCGTCTTTATTAATAGTTGATTATAATTCTAGTGATAATTAATTTGTTATTTTTCTTATGCTCATTCTTTGTTTTTATATAATATTCTTACTTTAATTACCAACATATATGGTCGCCTTCAAAAAAATTAAGAAATAAAAGAAGGCAGATGTGGATTTTAATTTTAATTTAATCTACTTTCAATTGTAATGTAAATGTAAAATACAATTGTCTGTAATGTAAATGTAAAATACAATTGTAATTTAAATGTAAATACAATTGTATTTTGACATATTGAATTGACTTACCGCTTAGTTATATCATTCTTAATTTAAGGTATGTCACTTTTAATTCAATTTGTAGAACAAAATTTGTGATAATTATGATGGTTGTTTAATTTTAAGACATGGTTTTTGATAAGAAAAAAATAAAACTAAAACATGGTTTTTCATTGTTACTAGATTGGGGCCCTGGGACATTATTTTTATGTTTGGCCCAGGGCCCCAAAATATGTAGGACCGGCTCTGCCTATAATATTTCTTTAATTCAAAATAAGCATTTTCTCCGAGAAATATTGAGGTTCCAAAAGGCGACGAACGCTTGTTAGGGGAATGTAGCCTTAGTGCCTACATCAACTTATTTATATTTATTGTTATGCATAATTTACAAAATATATTTTGTAAAATGTACTAATTAATATGATTAGACACACTAACTATATAATCATTGTACATTTCATGTACAAATAATTAAATTATAGTTTGATTATATTCTCTAGAGGTGAGCGTGGGTCGGTACGGTTCGAAGATTGATAAATCTCCACAACCGTACCAAACTTCGGAGATCCCAATATTCGATCTCTGGAACCGTATCAAAAAGTCAATTTGGTTCGGTTCAGAGATTTTTATTTTTCGGTTCGGTTCAGTTCGTTATTCGAGACTATTGGGACGATACGGTTTGGTATGGTTTGGTTCGAATCTTCAGAGATTTTTTATTTTTTAAAATTATTTTTGAATGACTACCAAGTTATATTTTAATTTTTATATGTTTTAAAAAAACAACATTCATCAATAATTCATCATATTGAAGATTTTATTTTGAAATCATTTCTAGAAGTAACTCTAAATTTTAGTTATTTAATTTTTATATGCTTTAATAAAACCAACATTCATCAGTACTTCCTCACATTAAAGATTTTATTTTGAAATCAACTTTATAAGTAACTCTCAATTTTAGTTATAACTAAATTTGTGCAACTAATATTGAAAATCTAAAATTCAAATAAAATATAATATTTTTTTTTTCTTAAAAAAATATTCTTTAAACTTTCATATTATTCTAAATAATTATTTTATAATAGAAAAAATTTAATTGTAGATCAAGTATTACTAAAAATGAAATTTTAGTGAAGGTTAATATTTATTACTATATTATATAAAATCAAAGTTGACATAAAATATATTAATAACACAATGTTATAATTCAGTTCTTAATTTCGGTTCTTCGGTTCGGTACAGTACGGGACGGTTCAGTTCGGTTCTCGGTACGAATATTTCTGAAATCTTTGGAATCGTACCAATTACTTGTTCGGTTCAGTTCGGTTCGGAGAAAGTCAAAAGGTCAACAGTTATTTTTCGGTTTGGAGTGATTTCAGTTCGGTTTTCGGAACGGTTCGGAATTCCCTGAGTCCCATGTTCAACCCTAAATTATTCTCAATAATTATACTTTTATTATTTTCTCAATATAAATTAAGAAATGTAAGAAAAAATATACATAGCGTCGCCTAGACCGCCTATTAAATCTAGGCGCTATGTTTGGTAAAACTAGCTGATAAGCTAGCTGATAGCTGATAAGCTAGCTTATAGCTTATATGTAATTTTTGAGCTTATAACTTATAGCTGAAAGCCTAGTTTATATGAGAAAAAAGTGTTTGGTAAATTAGCTGATAAGCTAGTTGAAATAAAAAATTCAACTAGCTTAATTGAAAAACTACCTAAAGTAGCTTATGAAATAAGCTCGAGCTTTTTAAAAAAGCTCGTCCTACCAAACGAGACTTATATTAAATAAGGAGTTTATAAGCTAACCAAATAAGCTATAAGCTATCTTATTTGGTTTACCAAACATCCCCTAACTTCACAACCGCTTAAACGCTGCTTAAACTGCACCTAATTACGCGAGAGCCTATAAGGACTGCCTAGACAAAAATCCCAAATATTTTTTAACAAAGGTATTTATTTATACAATGTTGTGAAAAATTAGCCCTTGTTCATGTAGTGTTTCTTCTCTTTCCTTTTTTCTTTGAAGAAACTAAAAAAAATCTAAAATTTTGTGGTAGATACATTTGTTTAAAATAGTGAAATATATTGGGTTTTTTTGGGGCTTCAAGGAAAAATACCTAAACATGTGCCCAAAGGCAATTTAGTTTCATAAATTTAAGTGTTGGTTCACCTGTAAAGAACCCATATTAAAACCTCAGCAACAAAGTAAGGAGAAGTAATCATCATCAATACCAGAGCTATTGCACCACAGATTTGAGATGCTATAACTTTAATGTCCCATAAAAATCCCTCTGAGTAATTTTCTACTTCCCTACTATTTGTCTTTCTCACTTCTAGCATCAAACGATATGCTTATTCAAATATTATGACAACATCAACAACAACATGCTTCATTTTCATATCACTAAACCAGAATCAGCACACGCGGCCGTGCTAATTCTGACAAGTAACAAAGATCTGATATTCTCAAGTGAAATAACATGCCGAAAACCAACCGAGCACCATTTTCACCATCAAAACACGCCATTATCGAACATTATCTTACACTGAAACAAAGAAGCCAAAAAGATAATAACACTGGCTGAAAAAGAAAGGAAAACAAGTAACATTAGGTCCAACTACAAAATTATCTTACAAAACACATAATCAGAATTCAAGAGACAATCAACAACAATACATATCCAATGCCTCAAGATATATATAGCAAAGGCCCAACAACTTCATATACACTCCCATCACATCCAAAAAGTGAAACAACAACACATCCTGCAAATTCAAAAGCTTTACCTTTACCCCCAAAATAATCACATTATAGCACAGAGATTCGTAAAACCCGATGTAAAAACTAAAAACTACCTCAAACCTTGAGCATTTGCATCTTGTTCCCAAATGCAATCGCGATCCAATCGGGCTGGGCCGCGGACCACTGCAGCTGATTAATCTCCGCACCAGCGGGGTACACGAGCATTGGGTCAATCCCGTTGGGCCCAGCGACAGTGGGCAGCTCCCACAGCAAAGCCCGCCCATCGTCCCCTGCAGAGCATATGTGCCTGCAGCTCTGTGGGGCCCACGAGATGGCGTTCACACTGGCCGTGTGCCTCTCGAGCTCGGCCACGGGGACAGCTGGCGAACGGATATCCAAAATCACAACTTTATTGCTGTCCATCAAGATAGTTGCCATGTACCTAAGGTCCTGTTTGTTCCAGGCGAGCCTCAGAAGAGGTGTATCGGGGATCGGGCTCTCGTAGATGATGGTGGAGTGTTCTTTGTCCCTGAGATCGAAAACCCTAACCGAACCATCGGCCGAGACGGAGGCGAAAACCCCGGCTTCTCCCCAGGCCATGTCGTAGACTTCTTTGTCGTGGGCGATAAGCTGGGTCTCGACGACGCCCTTCTCGACGTCCCAGATGGTACAGGTGGTATCGATGCTGGAGGTGCCGATGCGGCGGGGCTCGGCCTCGTTCCAGTCGAAGGAGGTGAGTGGCGCGGAGTACTCGCTGGCCTTGCTGTTGTTGAGGGTGGAGATGGGGTCTACAGAGGCGTCGCCGACTCGCCATAGGCGGAGGAAGTCGCCGGAGGAGGCGAGGAGGCTGGCGGGGGCGGAGGGGGATGGGTGGAAGAGGAGCTTCGTCGGGGGGTAGGGGTGGTCGAAGGAGAGAGCAGGGGAGGAGGGGGAGATGGAAGCTGCGGCGGGGCGGTCGTCGGAGAAGGTGAGGACGTCGACGCGGTTACCGAGCTCCTCGAGGAAGCTGCCGACGGCGATGCGGCGGGGGTCGGCGGCTGAGATCGCCATGGCGTAGATCGGGTGGGGGGACTCGTAGGTGGCGACGTTCTCGCGGCGGTGGTGGGGTTCCGTGGCCGAGCTCTCCATCGGGGATCGCGATTGGCTTTTGGTAGATTTTGCGGAAATTAGGGTTTGGGTGTTTTTTTTTCTTAAATCTGAATTTCGATGAAGTTGCCCCTGTGGTAATGGAACGCATGAATTGGTAGTGGGCCACTGAAAAATGCTTTTCTGAGTCGACTTTTCTATTTGGGCGGGGATGTTGAAAAGTATTCTGGGCTGATTGTCCGCTAAATCTGTTGGTTGTGTTCTATTCATCACTAAGCCCAAAAGTAAGAGTTCTATATGGCCCAAACCTTCAAACATGGCATAAAAAAAGAGATGATATCGATATAGGTTCAAAAAAGTTCCAACCCAAATGCTACTCTTGAGCTAATGTTGGTTTGACATGCTACTTGTGATAAGTTATATCTATAGGTAGAATTGTGAATCATAACAAGCAGTTTGTTGTGAGCTAATGTTGGTTTGACATGCTACTTGTGATAAGTTATATCTATAGGTAGAATTGTGAATCATAACAAGCAGTTTGTGAGTTCGCGTCAACTCGGTCCGTATGTTGAGCTCGAGAATAGAATTTTTTTTCGTAATTTTTTAAACTTTTAGCCTAACTAGACACATTAAAGTTTGAGTTCGCTTCATTAACATTTATAACCGAGTTGAGTTCGAACTCATTCATCATAACCGAGTTGAGTTCGAACTCATTCATCGCCTTACTAAGTTAACAAGCTGAACTTAACTCGACTTGATAAGGTTTAAATCTGAATTCCATTATCAGAAACATGAACCCGACTCGCCTCCTCTTGTTTGGAAGTACTATTGTTCCTTTAATATTGTAGTGAAACAACCCAAAAAATATAATTGCTTTAATTATTAATTTGTATTTAGTATTTTGGATTTGATCATTGTTTGACTATGTATCAATATACAGGGGCGAAATCATTAATGCCGTCGGAGAGGCGCCGGCCCTTCAAAAAAAAAAAAAATCGAACTAGGGGTGGAGGGTTTTGCTGGAACTGGAAGGGTGCCCTTTGAGCGCCCTTCCGATGCCCGAGTGGGGTGGTGCGCCACGGGATGGCCGGAAGGGCTCCACCGAAAATCCAAATCCGAAAACACAGAGCAGCTGAGCGGGGAGGCATGGAGTCATGGAGGGGAAGCTGGATCGAAGAAAATTTGTGTTTGTGTTTGGTTTTGTCGTGAATTTTTTATTTTAAAGACAAATTGGGTTCTCTCCAAAACGGGATCCTCAATATAAACTTCACCTAATGAGCATTATCACAATATACAACAGAGGATTTGGTCTATACTTATTTCCTAGTACCAAAGTCTTGTCAAATAGTAAAATGGTGATTAAAACGGAATAGTATTAAGTCACTTTTCAACAAATATGGCTCGACTTATAACAGTAAAAATTATTGGTCATCGAATTATGAGATTAGTTGAACATTGAGCAGTTGAACATGTACAAAATATGTAATTTATGAGAAATGCTATAGTCCCGTTATGGTCATTTCGTCGGGTGTTTTAATAGTTGGATTATCTATCATATACTAACTACATGTGTTAAAACTCCCGACAAAATGGTACCATAACGAGACCGTAGCATCTCCCGTAATTTATACAACTTTTTTTTTTCATATCTCTACTTTGACATTTCATTGCAACTTCACCGACATTCGTATCTTCGTTATAAATTCGGAATTCATAAACCATGACAATGATAGTTGTCGCTTACAAAGTCTAAAGAAAAAATGTTAAACCCACTAATTCATATTGAAAATTATAAATGAAAAACGGTCCATTACGTCTCGTGGAAAAATTACAAGAAAAAAACGCGTAATGTTCATTCATTTTTTTTTTTTTT